ACCTTTTGAATGAGGTGCCACATGACCCCTGTTTGCATTTAAAAAAATTGTCGATTACGTCATCACGCCAACACCGGTGACGAAACGTCTTTCATATGAATATCATGAGATGGGCCGTCAAAAATTAAAGTTGACCTGTTTTTGGATTTCTTCCGAAAGACGCTCATTTTGTAAATATCGAATTTATTCCATACATTTGCATCGTACTGTATAAAGATAACTGATAAAAAAAATAGTGACGATAAAAATGGTATTACTCTCATACAGGATATTCTTCACGAATAAATCTTCTTTTAAAATATGTTTGCTATGAGTCATAGCAAAAGAATAGTATTCTAATAGTGAGAAATTGCCATTAAGCAGTGTCCACATGTCTTATTCCTTGAATAATATATTATCATTTGTTTATAGATTCAGTATATTTTTTTGCTTTCATAAATATGATGAACTTTTCGTCCATTATAAAAAAGCAATGAGATAACTGTGGTGGGTTGTAGTTTTTTTGAAAATTATTTAAAAACTTTGAACACCATTCACTTCAAATAACTAGCATGTTGGTTGATACCTTATTGGTTATTCTCATCTATTCAAGAACATTGTTTACATGTTTTTAGAGCCCTCACAGAAATAATTGTAGCCGTGCTGCCTAAAATGAAATGCCCACATAGAATAGAACCACATCAAATCCAGGGTCTAGATTTTATTCACATATTTCCTGTTATACAAGTGAGTATAAGACTGTTTTTTAATTTTGTAAATTTCATTATAAGATCCCTGTAATTATCCTGTAACTCGGATATTTACCTCAGCTCTCAGTAATTATTGTCATGCTCTCAGACATCTAATAAATTTATGCCATTTGTATATTACAAACAAACAATTATATGTTACTATTAGCCTGGCAGTAATGTGGTTTGATTTCACATCAATGGTTCGATATGCAGTGTAATTTCAAAAATAAGAAAAATTCATGTATTATTATGAGGTCATAGTCTCTCATTATCATCATATTGAAGGAACACACTAACTCTTAATATTTTCCAGTGGCTAGTGAAAAGATCTATGGAATTTCGTGAAGAAATGTCCTCTTTTGTAAGATCTTATGCAGTAAATCAGTTCGACAAACAGTATCACACAAAAAATAAGAAAGAGGAAAAGCAAAAAAAGATGTTGGAGAATTTACGAATTGTTAGCGATATCTATCGACCTCATAGGTATTATAAAAGAAAAAATGCCCCTCCTCCTGACATTAATTCAAGAGTACAAATTACTTTGTTGGAATATGATCACAGGGGTAGAGATTCACATGGTGGTATTCCTGGTACTTCAACAAACAGCGAAGGGGGTATAATTGAAAATAATCAGACAGAAGAGGTAATATTTTTTTGATTTTTGATATCACTGAAATAGATTTTTGAAAATGCATGTGCACATCACTAAATGGATTTTAAAACGAAATATTTTTTCTTTAAGGCCAAGTAAAACTATTGAATATTGGCTAATACTATACTTGTAACCCTGTACCATTGTTCAACAAGGCATAAAAAATCCATAATGTTGAACAATGATGAAAGTAGCATATGCAAGTTCATAGTTCATCAATTCATGGTGTTCTGATATAGGTAATATTTTTTATAGGTACCCTGTTCTGCTTATTTAAAATAAGCCACGGTGTATTTAAATCCACATTTTCAAAAATGTGCATCATCTACAACCTGTGAAATGTGAAGTCTTCAATACATTATCAATATCTTTAGGAAAAATATTTTTTTTTGAAAATTTAGGAGAAAAAAATTCACACTTGGTGCACTGATCAAGGTTTATCTACGTGATGATTTGAAGTTGTAATTTTTGATTCTTCAGAAGTCTCCTACATGTTTTAAAAGCTTCATTCAATACTCAACAATCTCAAGTTTTTGATGAACGTGAAAATAAATCACAGCTGGTACTTAGCTGTTCAACTTTCTACTCCTCTCTTTATAAAGATATGTTGTGAGTTTCTATTGTAGTTATTTTTTTTCTTTCTTCAGAAGTCTCCTACATGTTTTAAAAGCTTCATTCAATACTCAACAATCTCAAGTTTTTGATGAACGTGAAAATAAATCACAGCTGGTACTATTTGAAATATTGATACTTTCAGCTTTTATATCAGACGAAATGCTGTTTAAATTAATATGTTGAAGTCAATGAGGTTGTACTTTCATTTATGAATAATGAAGTTTTAAGCATTTGTTTTGTTGCAAATGCTCTCTTCAATATAACCTGTAACCACAGCTGCCCATTTCCATCCTACTTGTCATTGGATTTGGTCTAATGTCATGCCACTATTCGCCATCATGGTAGTGGATTTACTCGCATGTCCGGTATATTTCTTAAGATCTCCCAATTTAACTTTGCAAGAGACATATTCTAAACCACTTGGTGCACTTTCCCTCATTATACGTTGACAAAACTCGGTCTGCACGTTAATTTTGGAGTTGCAATAACAAATACCACTTCACAAAACACACATAACTAATTGCATCACTGTTAGCAAGAGTAAATATTGAGCCTTCATGGGTGAATAGAAACTAACAACTCTTCCTTCTTCTGTCATGTAAGACTAGATCACACAATCCACATCCAAAAGCGAAAGATATTGCAAATTTCAACCACCTTCAATGTCCAGTGTATCTGTGAAACACCTCCACAAATCGTTATCTTTTTCCATTATGAATTTTTATTCCCATTCTTGTAGTTATAATACATGATGGCTTCAAAAGGTGCAAATGAAAAAATAGCTAAAGTATTTTTGGATAACTGGTCTTTACTTACCCCGTCGTATTTGAAAAGTTGTGTGTTATAAAGATCTTAATATCTTCTTATACTTCTATTCTGTATGTTTTGCTAAATGTGTTTTTGGCATTTGTTGAAAAACTATGTGACCCGACAATTATGTACATTTATAAAATAATCATACAATTGCCACATTCTCTTCACATTTTTTTGCGATGTTGCATGTGCTTTATAACATGTAGCGCTTTTTTGAGTTTTCATTTAATTGTTTTTTGGTTTGTTTGCTGATTTTTAGAAACAGATTCAACTCCTCTTGAACAGCCTGACTGCTGCCAGGGAGGTGAGTACCAGTGAACTTTTCTTCAATTATGCAATAATAATGCAATAATGCAAGGTACCTAGTTTAACGTCATATTTTTTAGGAGACTCTGGAATATGATGAATTGGATGAAGAAGATAAACAGAATCTCATAGAACATTATGCATCTCTACAATCTGAATTGATGGTAAGTTTATTCATTTAATGAATGGAGCAGCCCATATGTACACACACATACACAGACATTAGCAAACGCCTGTATATACACGCGCGCGTGTACACACTTGCCCACAAATCACGCACTCAAATCCAGGAGCATAAACACACATGCCTGCCCACACACGCGCCCAATTCGAGGAGCGTACACACGCCTGCGCACACACGCGCGTACATCTCACACACACTCCCGGATATACAGGCGCGCGCGCATGTTTTGCACACACCACACGCGCATTCCACGTGTACTCTCGATATATCAGATGGAGGTATTTTTCGGCCTCATTCTCATAATATTGATGTCACATTCGATTGATGTTATGATTCCACCTACAGTCTTTATTTTTTAGCTGATTTCGAAAGTTGAATTTGTTTGCAACTCAAGGAAGCATAACTAAATGCTATAAAGTATTTTTTTTATATTTACTTTTTGTGAGTTTACTACACATGAGACATTTATACTGTTTGACAGTAAAGAAGTGTCGCCAGCATAAATAAATACGAAATCGGAGCAAACATATTTTGCTTGCTGTGAACAAGATAAANTTGACAAACTCACATAGGTTATGTTTACTACTTAAGAACAGCTGATGAGAGGGGTGTTATGTAAACAAACATGTGTACCAACTGTTGGTGATGAAATATTTCATTTGTTGAAAACTCAATATACATATATATAATATAATGATACTATATCTTGAAAACAAGAGCTAATATATAATTTTTATTTTCACTTTCGGTTTTAACACGTGGAAATACATTAAAATCATCTAATTTCAACCCCGAAACAAAAACTTTGTTGTGTTGTGTGATTGGAATAATACAGATAAATTCCTTTAACCTCTACTAGTATTCTTATATGTCTATAATGACAGTTTTTGTAGGATGGAGGGGTGCAATCAAAAGAAGAAACAAAAATTGCTGATTTAGAACAGCAATTGAAAATACTAAACGAAAGATGTAATATATTCAAGGAAACAAGACTGAAAATCAAAGATGAGTTGGAGACTACTCAAACTCTTCTTAGTGAGATAAGACTGAAACAGCAGGAGGCAGACAGAGTTTTGAAGGAACTGGAAGCCGAAGACCATGACTCTGAGTGAGTAGAGAGATGGGAGATGAAGCAAAAGGAGAGAAAACATGAAATTTTTACTTATTTTCTTCATTTTGCAGAAAAATTAAAGAAGTAGAAGAATTAGTAATACTCAATGATGATTTGAAGGCTCAAGAAGTTCAGTTTAGAGAAAACTGTAAGCAAGAATTAGTTAGATTACAGACTTTGATAGAGTGAGTAATTCAACAAAGATCAGCACTAATTTCAAAGGGTAAATATTTATGGTTCACTTTATTTTAGGGAAACAAAAAAGACAAAATCCAAATCTCCGACGAAAAACAGTTCGGAAATTAACAAAGAAATAAAAGAAGAATCAGAAAAGATAAAAACGCTTAGGTTACAGCTTGCAAAGAAAAATAGAATAGTTTCTGCTCTGCAAAGGCAACTTGATGATGTTCCTAATAGGGCTGAACTTGCCCAGTACCAAAAAAGGTTCTTGGAGTTGTATAATCAAGGTGAGTGGCGATATGAAGTAGACATGCGATTTCTAAAGTTTACACACCTGCAAAATTGTAGAAAGGTACCAAACAATTCAATAATATCTTATCTTGAATAACAGAATTGATAGTTTGAAGTCCGAGTTGTGAGTTTAGGTTAGAAAATAATAATAAAATGGAATTCCGAATTTAACTACTACAATTCTGTGTTAATGTTTTCATCTTGAAGCTCTGACAGATTTTNTCTGCTAAGGTTTATTTTTGATGTAATCTCGGTTTTCATTTCCACGCACTTTTAATGGTCTCGAAGTTTCACCAATATAACTTTTTCCACAAGAATTAGGTATCTTATAAATGCAATTTTTTGTTCTTTCTTCGGTGTTGTTGGGTTTTGTATGCATGAATGTAGATCTCAGTGTATTTGTTGTTTTATAAGAAGTTCCAACTTTCGTTCAATGGATAATTAACTTTTTCTTTGTACTTGTTCCACACTAATATTACTTCTACCCTAAACTTAACAGTAGTGTTCAGAAAAATACAAAAACCGATGTAAGAACTTCACAAACTATTCCAAATCTGGAATGGGTTCATCATCCGAATCACCTTCATCCCCGTAGAGGTAATCAAAGTTTGGTCTGCCACCAGCACCACCCACATCATCATGCCATTTATTGAAATCACATTTCAACCAATGATGTTTGCTTTTATCTGATATCAGGGAAGGTCAGTAAGGTTCTTCTGGATTTGCTTCAGCCAATAGTATTTCAATACACCTTCCTCTATGGAAGTGTTTGCTTTTTTCAAGATCTATTTCTTTATACAAGGGAATGGTCACTTCGTAATCATTCTTTTCTACACCACCAGTACCTTTGAAATATACTGAGCCTTCGCTGAATTTAACTTCAGGATCTTTACATTCGTCCAAATTTATCGTTAAAAAGACTATAGATCTTTGGGCCCATATCAGTTTTTACGGTTAAAAACGTATTGAAAAGGTCAAGAGGCTTGAAACGTGGGTGCCACACGATTTGAACGATCGATAGAAGTAAGTTGTCACATTTTTGCTTTTACACAACCATAACAATTCTTTTTTGGATTGGATCGTCACGTGTGATGAAAAGTGGATCCTCTACGACGACAGGAGATGTCTAGGACAGTGGTTGGTCACAGATAAGCCAGCCAGGCACTTTTCAAAGGCGAAAACACATAAAAAAAGACCATGGTTACTGTATGGTGGTCAGCGGTTGTTGTGATTCACTATAACTTTCTGTAACCAGGCCAAACCATCATAACAGAGTCCGATTGTGAGGAAATTGACGAAATGTATCAAAAATTGCGTCACCAACAGCCGGCACTGGTCCGATCCTGCTCCACGACAACGCCCGTCCGCACGTTTCTCAAATCATTGTCTCAAAATTAGACTAATTTAGAAGTCGAAGTTTTGCCTCATCCACCATACTCCCCAGACCTCTCGCCAACTGACTACCATCTTTTCAAGCAGCGATAACTTTCTCACCCGTAGAATATTCGCCAATCAGGACTGGCAGTCTTCGTCGATTCCCGAGCGAACATTTTTTTATGCTGACGAAATTAATCCACTTGTGTTACGTTAGCAAAAGTGCATTGATTCCAGTGATGCTTATTTCAATTAAATTAAATAATTATTCTCTGAGATATTACAGTTTGAAGTAGATTCATCAAAACGGACATTGAAACAACCTGATATTTCTTTTATCAGATATTCACAATCCAAATATACTTTAAGTTCCCTAATTTCCATTTTTCCAAAGGAGATGATGAAATTCAATTTTTGGGTTATCCATACATCACAATACAACTTTTCAAAATTTTCAGTTGCAGCGAAACACAAAGAAACAAAACAATACTACAGCTTATACAACACTCTGGAAGATACCCGATTATACATGAAGAAAGAACTATCATTGTTGAACTCCATATCCGACAGCTACCCTGAGGCGATGCAATCGGCAAGTGGCAAGGAGGAGTTCCTGAATCAGTTCCAAGCCATCGTGGATGGTGTGCACCAGTCCAGACAGAAGGTTGAACTAAAGCTAACCGAAGAGAAGCTCAAACGTGACGAATTGAGCAGTAATTTGCAAAGTCTCGTCGATCAGCAAAGGAGATACGTGGCTGCGGTACGACAGTTGAGCATTGAATGTAGGAAGCACGAAACTTTGCTAGCTCAAGCCGAAAGTAGATCTTGATAGGTAGGGTTTCTGTGTGAGCAGAATTGTTTAGTTGAACTCGTTTTTTGTATGGTAACTGGCGACCTGGAAATCTACCGTTGTAATCTTTTGTGAGATTTGTAATGACCTGTCCATTCAAAGTTCACCGAGCTTAATATATTTTTATTATGAGGTCATTTTATGGCCGACAAGTTTCCTTTGGAAATTGTCAACCCCAATATTAATTATGGCATATACTCAGTATTGTGTGGGGTGGATTTTTTAAGTACTTGGAAAACACTTTTATGGTCCATGAAATAGAAAAGAGAATCATCAATGAATGGGATTTATCAACAAGGAAGAATATTTCATTTTTGTAGACTAACCGCACATTGGCAACTTTTTAGTTTCGGTTATTAAATAATCTCTTGGTTCAAGCGACTTTGTGATCTGATGGATGCCGTCTATTAAAGCTGATGACACTCATCTTTGATACCAACTTGAAGACGAATGAAAGTAAGACCTTACTTATACTTGATTAATAAGATTTCCACTATACAAAACCACGTGAGAGAAAGGTTATCTTAGATTTCCTTTAAACCAGTGGTAATAGATTATGACACACATTATATTTGATATATCAATTTAAATTAAGAATGAGATTGCCTCAGTTGTTGAAATCCAAATATTGTATTTATTTTTTTCTGTTATGAAATTATATATTGTTTTATGTACATAGCTTCATCATGAGCAAAGTTTGTAATGTTTTTATGAATAAACACGATGAATTTTACATTACTTTAACTTTTATTTCATTCAACCTAACATAGCATTGAGAAGTCGTTTAAGACCCAAAAATGTTCAAACCTCACTGGTCAGATTAATTCAGTTCCAATATTTAAAATGGGAAGTATACTCCTATATTTATTTTTCAAGTCTCTCCAAAGCTGGATAAAATTCACCTTCAGTTATAGATTTTAATGTGGTTTAATTGTCGATTTAATCAATGAATGTTCCATTGTCGAGGGGGTTCTGTATCTATCTGTAGAGTAGGGAGGGTGAGTGTAGGCCCACAGCACTTAGGCCACATATGACCCATTCTCCTTTCCAGGAAGGTGGACAGGTCACTGGGAGACATCTCTTTTATATCGCCAAGACTCGCTGAACACACACTATCTTATTGACGATAACTCCAGACACTCGCATTGGACATGCCTGACAGTTTCATCTTCCTGTTCACACAATCTGCATAGAGGTGTGTCTACTAGCCCCATATTATGGAGGTGTTTTCTTAGTTGACAGTGGTCAGTCAGAAATCCTACTGTTGAGCGTAGATTTTTCCTGATCATCGCCAGATATTTCTTCGGTACCAGCTTCCCAGGGTCGCCCCTGGTGATCCTAAAAGCTATTTTAAAGATCGTTCACAGTTTGTAGAAACTTCGAAGGGAAAATCAAGCAGTGAATTTATTAAATTTGGAGTGCCTCAGGGATCTATATTTGGACCCTTATTATTTTGCGTATACACTTGTGATCTAGTTTCTGTTTTGAGACATTGTAATTCACATATGTATGCAGATGACACACAAATATATCTATCATTTAAACCTAATGACGTTACTATTGCTAATCGAAAATTAAATGAAGATCTAGCTCGTCTTATTTCAGCATCTGAAGCTCATAACCTCAAAATCCATTCAAACAAAACTAATTTGCTTGTTTTTGGTACTAACCGTAGCTTGGTGGAAAGATATATTGATATTGTTATTGGTGATACAGTAATATGCCCCACGAACGTGACAAAAATTTAGGTATCGAAATCGTTAACACTATTAGGATTATATACATTAGGTTATGCATCGATTAAAATCTTTCAATATTTTTAATAATATCGAATTATTTGAATACGTTATCATGAGATAATTCAAAATTCCACGGTATATTCCAAAATATACCGTGGGCATATATTCTAAGTATAGATTAGATTAGATTTTTTATTGGTCAAGTTATTACACCTCAGTGCTATGATAAGTCAATAATGTATAAAATAAATGTAAATAACAATCAAAATTACCGAAAAGGAGTAGGTAGTACATAAAAATTGTATATGATACAAGCACAAAATGAAGTAAATAAATTGTTTAAATGTAAAAATAAAGATACATAGCGACAGTACCTACATTGACGATAGTCACTCTGTAAAGCTGAAATCAGACGCATCATAGTAAGCATTCTCTGAGAGATGTTTTTTCAGTTTCAGTTTGAAATTAGCGAGGGTTGCATTTTTCATTGACTGGGGCAGTGAGTTGTACAATGATATGTATGAGTTACATCTCCTTGTTATTTCCAGTCTTTGGTTTGGTGCTCTAATATTATCCTTGTTCCTAATATTATGCGAATGGTTGTTACCATTTGTAGTAAACTTTTGTAAATTTTCTTGAATGTGCATCAAATTGCAGTATATTACACATGATGGCAGAGTTAATATATTGAACTTAATACACCTAAGAATTGGTTTCCATTTGACCTATTCCAGTTAAAGCTCCAATTGCTTTTTTTTTAAATTTTGAATATTCTCGAGATATGAACATTCTTTCGGGAATAATCCTGCCATATTCATTCAAGCATATTCATATTCAAGAATATTCCAAGAATATTCTATGAATATTTGGAATATATACATCCGTTTTATGACATAGAGGGAATATTCCATGAATAACTGGTGCTGTGTGGGTTATTTTATAGTGATATACTTACGGCCGATTTCATAAAGGAACATAAAGGTTACTTTAACTTTAAATGATACTTTAATAAATATTTTTGATTTCATAACCAAGTTAAAGTGTCCTTTAAACCAAAAACGTCCTTCAAAGTTAAAGTGTCGATTTCTCTACTTCAACTCGCTAAAGTGTCATTTAACTACAACATAACCTCAATTTTAATAATTGTTATTTGTTGTGCTACTCGCTACGTTTGCTAGTTTTGTGTTCGTTTAGCCATAATAATCATAAAAATATGAATAATTTTGAAACGTCTAGCTCAAGTTCATCTGATGAAGAATTTATTTATACTAGAAGACCAAAAGTGTATAGGAAAAGAACAGACTGCTTCGAAAAATATGATGAGCTTGACTTTTACCAACGTTTTCATTGGTATAGTTTTACATGACTGAGTAGCAATAGCTAATATGTGTAATTTTGTTTTTTAATTATTTTAACCAAGCTTTGTCAATAAGATATGAATCTTCAGACAATAAAGCATATTTTTATTTTGACATACCAAAGAGTGCATATCAGAACTGGATTGGATTGAAAAAAACGCTAGCACAAGTGTATCATATATCTGAGGAGGAGTACTTTGAAGAAGACAAAGTTGAAATTGATGGATGAATGATTATTTTTTGAGAAAATGAAAATTGTTTTACAATCTGTCGAATCATACAATTTGTTCTAGTGGAGTGAATACATGAAGATTCAAAATTTGAATTATTTATTCAAATGTATATACATAGGGTTATACAATATATAAATGCAACAGAATACACTTGATACATCATAAACAAGGCGGATGTTAATGCAACTATAATGTAGAATTGAATTTTAATTGCTTCTGTAAGTTTTCTTTTTCACCATTAATCTTGATGCGGCCATTACTCCGTCTCCGAAGGTCTTCCAGTACAAACCGGCTTCTTTATGATAGGGAGGACTTACTAAATTGATGAACTTTCCATTTGGATTACTTTGGAGACATCCATTATACCACCAAGCTCCATCTGAAATGTATAAAAATTGAAGTGGATTTAACAACTTGTGAGAAACGAGAAGTTGAAAGTGATGAAAGATTTAAATAGTGAAAAAACCTAAAAAGGAATTTTACATATTTTTTTGTAAGTGCCATATCTGATTTCAGAAGTTTTCGAAAACTTTTTTTTGTGCCTTTCAAGTTATCAATTATCTGTATCTGTAGAGTAGGGACGGTGAGTGTAAGCCTACAGCACTTAGGCCACATGTGACCCATTGTACATCCTCCCGAGGAGTTGTCCTCCTATGTCATCGTCCATCCTGTCCTTTCCAGGCAGGTGGACAGGTCAAGACTCGCCCAACATACTCTCTTATTGACGATAACTCCAGGCACTCGCATAGGAGATGCCTGACAGTCTCATCTTCCTGTTCACAGATCCTACATAGAAGTGTGTCTACTAGCTCCATTATATGGAGGGGTTTCTTTAGTTGACAGTGGCCAGTCAGAAATCCTACTGTTAAGCGTAGATTTTTCCTGGTCATTGCCATATATTTCTTCAGCGCCAGCTTCCCAGGGTCGCCCTTGGCAAGATTGCATCCTTTGATTCCATTTTATCTCTTTAGGGATTGAGCATGGGTGTAACATTTGGATAGTTCCACAATTGTGGAAGTCATCAGGCCCTAAGGTGCCGCTAGGTCATAAAATTCTTAGTCCAGCCGCTTCCTTGGCTGAAGAGTCGGCAATGCGATTACTTTTACTCCTGTTGTGGCCTTTCACCCACCTCAGGATAATGTTATTATCTACCGAGGCCTTTTGGCTAAATCTTGGTGGCACTCTAGTACAAACCCTGAGGTAACATGTTGTCTGTTCAAGGCTAATACGGCTTGTCTAGAGTCAGTGCAGATTGTTATGTTTTTGCCAGAAATTCCTTTCCTGGTTATTTCTTTTGTGGCGATTGAGATACCAGCCAGTTCTGTTTGGACCACGCTGGTATTTTTTCCCAGTCTCCACTTAATCCTTAGGCTTAGTATTCTGGAGTTTGAATTATCGATGAGTGCAGTAGTGCTTACATTTTTTCATATCACATTCAAACGACCTTTTTAAACGCAGTTTGTTAATTGAAATGATATATATGTATGTAGATTATCACGTGATTAAAACACCATTGCCTCCGATTATGTGTTGACTTCTGTAAGTTGCCATTGCTAAAAATAAGACGGAACGTTAAATTATTTGCTGAGTACATTCTCCAGTATATTCACACATCAAATTTTCATCCACGGAAATATTTCTTTCCAAACGAATTCATGCAGAGATCTTCTTTCAAAATGTTAGGATTTATCTTGAGGATATGCAAAGATTTTTGCTGCGAGACCATGGAAATAATTTACCTCTCACATGTGAGAGCGATACTTGAATACTGTTACGTTGTCTGGTATCCACAATATGAGTGATATGCTAAGCAAATTGAACATTGAGGAGTTTTTAGATGATGTGCTTCCAGCTTGGTCTTGACAGAGATCAAGATCACTTGAAAAAAATAACGCCGGACGGCGTTGGTCTTCTTCGATCCACTGCGACTTGGTCAAGGTCATCTCAGCCCTCACTTTCACTCCTCTCTCTCGATCTTTCTGCAATGCTGCGTCTGTTCGATCTCCACGAGCTCCAAAGACTTCCATCGAGATATATAAGCATTGCCACGACGTAGAGGAGTCCGTTCACTTAGTATATTGCAGTGTATAGTGAATCTGAAGTTCTGTAAGAGTTTTTGTGTTGTATTGACAGTGTAGTGGTTAAATGAAGTTTGGTTTATTTGTTCGATGTTGTCAAATACTGTCGAACACACGAGAAAAATGTAACAATATGATGACACAAAATATATGAATATCAACTCATTTTTACATAGAATACCTGTCTATGACATTATATATCTGAAAAATATTCCAGTTTACTGTTCGCAGTTCATTAATATTTGTAATTTCTTGTGACTCCGCCAAATATTTAAATTCATTTCCACCTAACAGAATGACATTATCAAGTTATGATTTTTCTCAAACCGCGTAATAAATCACTGATGAATCATTTGTATAATTCCAAAAACTAACTACTTGAAGTCTTACAGAGAAAAACATTTGAAAAAGTGTATGCGCTTGAGAGTATTGCTGAAAAGTATGGACACACCATATTGAGACTTTCCCCCTATTTTTGTGTTTTTAATCCCATCGAGTTGATTTGGGGAAAATTGAAACAAAGCATCAGGCGTAGAAATAATTTTCCAAAATTTGATAAGAAGGTGATAGAGCTAGTTAGAGAAAAGTATCTAATATTACTAAAAAAGACTGGCAGAAAAAGATCAAAAAAGATCGCAACCGCAAGTGCGAATAATCAGAAATGATTATTGAATAACTAAATTAGTTAGCTGCCCAACTATTTTATTAAAGGGGAACTGCTGGAAGGTAGGGGGTACTATATCGTTTACTTGAACTATACCAACATGAAAAAATAAGAAAATCGCTAATCAAATGTAGGTACATAACCCGCGTAGGTTATATCTAATTCTATTACGGTGTTAAAGTTCATTGAATCAACTAACTTCAAAGGTTTTTGTTGGGAAATTATTCATGGCTTCGAGCGGTAATCCGGTTCTGCACATACAAGAGTCTCTTGCTAACTCGACAGATAAATTTTGCCATAAATACTTGATAGGGAATTCCACAATGATCAGGAATTTCCTTTGGTAAATTAATTTTTAATAATGCGTGCTGATTCTTTCTGCAGTCCTACTTATTATTGTGAGAAACTTGTTATAAAGCTGGAAAGCTATACATCATTCGTGTAGTTATGATCAATGAAAGACGTTATACAGTGTGTTCCAGGATTGATATTACACGAGGTGTGATGAAATGAAACTTTTTTAATTTCATCTTAAGTTAATGGAATCGAATTCAACTTAGCTCAAAATGCAGTTTAAAAGAATTCTCGTGCATTGTAGAACAACAACAAGAATGAGTCTGATTCGTCAGTAACTTATTTATAAATCTTGCCTCATTAAAAAAATAAATAGTTGATAAAATATTTTTTCATGCTCAGCTTTGTTAAAATGGCTCTAAAGTATTGAAATTTAACCAATAGTAATAAACTACCATTTCCACAGATACCATTGGCCATTCATTTTTATTTTCAACAATATTACTAAAAATACTTTCAATATCATTGAATTGATTGAAGAAAAGAGAATTGTAACTTTCTTTGTTTTTTACCACTTTTATTTGTAACTAACGTTACTGCATTTCATCAGTTCGGACTTCCATTGTCTAATATAATATAAATTGATTTGAAATCCCTGAAAGAATCTGTAACAAATTAAAAAGATTACCTGAAAGAAAATGTATTGAACAAAAAACTGAAATTACAAAGAAATAACATACAAGCAACAACCAAAAAAGAAAAGAAATATCAATACGAGCTGAAAATCAAACAGTTATCACCTGAAGACCATTGTGGATACTAACAATCGAAAGGTCGTGACGTAACTTGATTTGGAATCTTTTCAATTCTTGTTAATATTATTTTTTAATTTTTTTATTTTCAGCTNTTTTTTTGTGCTATTTGCCTGCCGTTTTTTTGTTCAGATTGAGTTTTGTGAGGATAATTGTAGCTATATTGTGACAAAATATTTTCTAGAAATGCGATTTTGTCATTCAATAATGAGATAACTATCTCTTTGTCCTTTATAATTGTTTCCTTATTCTGGATTACGTCTCTTAGAGGTTTATTTTCTTCTTCTAGGAATATTTCCTCAGTGAAGACAAGATCACTTTGGTTTCTTTCTTTACCTGGTTTTGATTTCCCACCACATGCTTACAATCACCTTTTTTAGACTCATTAGCCTGCCTGAGACATGCAGGATGAAAAGTGTCTTCACTTTTGATACACATTGCTTTCTGCACAACTTTTTTCTGACATAGTTTACATATAAATTTATTGATTTCTGTAGAGTTTAATGACAGTGGACTTGCACTTGCCGCCATTTTTATGGCAATAAATGCAATTATAAATACAATTTTCTAATCTTTGTGTTGTTGGGTTTTGTATGTGTGAATATAGATCTCGGTGTATTTGTTGTTTTGTAAGAAGTTCTAACTTTCGTTCAATGAATAACTTACTTTTTCATTGTACTTGTTCCACACTGTCTAATACTTAACAGTAGTGTTCAGAAAAATACAAAAACCAATGTAAAAACTTTATAAACTATTCCAAATCTGGAATGGGATCATTATCCGAATCACCTTCATCCCCGTCGAGGTCTTCAAAGTTTGGTTTGCCACCAGCACCACCTAAACCTCCCATTTGTCACATCATCTCCCCAAAATCACTACCTCCTCCTCCTCCCATTTCTCCATCACCTTCATCTCCCGAGTCATTTTCAAATGTCATCATCATCATTTTCATCATGCCAATTATTGAAATCACATTTCAACCAATGATGTTTGCTTTTATCTAATGTCAGGGAAGGCCAGTAAGGTTCTTCTGGATTTGCTTTGACTAGTAGTATTTCAATACACCTTCCTCTATGGAAGTGTTTGCTTTTTTCAAAATCTATTCCTTTATACAAGGGAATGGTCACTTCGTAATCTTTCTTCTCTATACCACCAGTACCTTTGAAATATACTGAGCCTTCGCTAAATTTAACTTCAGGATCTTTACAATCGTCTAAATTCATCGTTAAAAAGACTATAGATCTTTGGGCCCATATCACTACCTTGCGGTTTTCATGGTTAGACACGTATTGAAAAGGTCAAGAGGCTTGAAACGTGGGTGCCACACGAAAAGTGGTGGAAAACATAGAAATTTTCCTTTCTCTTTTCACCATGGTTATTGTATGGTGGTCAGCGGTTGTTGTGATTCACTATAACTTACTGTAACCAAACCAAACCATCAAAGCAGAGTCCTATTGTGAGGAAATTCGACGAAATGTATCAAAAATTGCGTCACCAACAGCCGGAACTGGTCCGATCCTGCTCCACGACA